CTGCTATGCTAATAGCGGAACATGTCAAAAGCTGGATACAGTGTTTGCACTGTATCCAGCGACTGACAGGTCACGCAAAAAGTATTAAACAGGAAGGGGTGGGGTAAATTTAGTGGGGGTGCCCGAGTTTTGCCTTGCCTAGGGCAGCCCCAATACACCACTGCGTTCAGGGACCACCAATTGAAATAGATCCGACTGACCCGGATCGCCTTGGTATGCGATCCGGGCCAGTCACAATTAGGCAGCGGCAGCCAATAAACAGGTAGGTTAGACGGCTGCTTCCTCCTCGCTAGGACCCCGGGAGGCCCCTGCAAGCGGCCGTCTAATCTGCCTGTTTAGAGGTCACCGCCGCTGCCTGATTGTGACCGGCCCGACTACAGAGGCGATCCGGGACGTTCGGGTCCCCCGTGAGAGCTGTACAAGGCCGTAAGGCAGTGATGTTGAACGTTTCTTAAACCCGAGCGCCCAAACTGCAATACTAAACTTAGTTTCAGCGCTGGCACTTAAATACATTGATTTTGCGTCGCAGTTTGGGCACTCGGGTTCAAAAAGGTTCGCCATCCCTGCTATACACTGTACAAATGTGAAAACATAATTTTTGACTCGCGTGTGCATGGGCCCTGTAGCTACTGAGATAAATGAGGGTTTGTTTTAGTGTTTTTACTGCTTGTTCAGAATATGTAAATTTTTAATGTGCATGATCTGGGTGCTAGTGCCTCTTTGCTTTACCTTTTTCCATACCTTATGCATACATTTTCCAGTATATCACACCCTTGTGTTGCTTGTATGTGTTTTCTTGAGGAAATTTCCCTTCACATCTTGTCCAGTAGCTTAACGGAAAGTGAGACGAAATCCCTCCAAAGAGTGGGTAGTTCTTGGAGGTCAGCAGGGTCAACAGAGCTAGTGTAAAATGTCTAACTTTCACTCTTGGTGATGACGGTCACTAGGACTAATAGGGAATCTCCCTAATGGGGACACATACAGCAATAAAAACCTGACAGGTGTTCTAGCATAGTGGTCAGTCCTGGGCGTCTGAAGCCCAGCTATAAGCTATTGAAGTGCGATCTGCACTTCAATAGCATATTTCTAGTGTAAAGGTGACACTAGGGGTCTTTTGGACCCCAACATCACCTCAAAGAGAATCTGTCACCACCATCTGCTATCACATGGGGGGCTTGCAGCCCCCCTGTGTGATAGCAATTAAAGTAAAGTAAATAAAGTTTTTAAAATTACCATTAAATAAAATAATTGTAAAAACGCTTAAAGGCCCACGAACACGCGCATCTTCATGTAAACACTCGTTGGGTGCGCCTATGTATGGAAATGGCAAAGGCGTTACACATGTTTGGTATTGCCGCGCACGCCGGAGTGAAAGCAATAATTCTAGGGCCAGCATTTTTGGGTATCTCTAAACTGATGACCTGTGGGGGCTTTTAAAGCATTGTCAATTGACTTTTTGGGGTACTGAAATTTTTTGCCGTTTCACAGACGCACACAATTTTTAACCTTGGCATGTTGAGGTTACAACGGGTAAATACCCATCTTTTATATTATTTTTTAAAATCTGTATTTTATAGTGTTTTGGGGCATTTAAGTGCATTTTTCACAAAATTTGGGGGTTGGTAAGGAGTTGCGCTAATGTCGTGCAATAAAAATTTGCAACTGCCACCATTTTGTTCTATAGGGTCTTGGCTTTCAGAAAATATATAATGTTTGAGGGTTTTAAGTAATTTTCAGGCCTAAAATGTGGAATATAACATGAATACAAAAAATGAAAACAAGGCCTCCGTCATGAAGGGGTTAAGGGACTGTGTTGACGTTTTGTTTGCTTCTTGTTGGTTTTGCATTCCCATACCAGTCTATGGGAATACAAAACCCACTGAAGCAGGTCAGGAGGAGGTCAAATGCACCTGTCATTGAATTCTGAATGATCGCAGATGTCATTGATGCAAGCCTAAGGCCCAAAAGACCAAAGCCAATCATATTAAACAAATATCTTCATAACACGTACAGGTAGCACAAAATGTAAATTTGAGAAAAACTTTGGCTGCTTTTGATATTTTCATTTTTCCTCCTCCCTTACTGCTATTGAAACCAGAAATTATTTTGACTTCATTAACTATTTGTAAATCAAACAAATATTCTGAAAGCAAATTCTACTAGTCTACTTCTTCTTTTTTTTTTTTTTTTTTTTAGTGCAGTTACTAAGGTTTTAATGTCCAGTTACTGTACCTTTCAGAGCTGTGTTGTGACTAATGCACATAAAGGCTTTATTTGCAGTCTGATGTTGACTTGTAACTTATTACAAGGTTACTTGCTCTTTCAAACCATTTAATTGACATCTGCAGCTCTACAACCGCCCCCCCCCCCCCCTCCTTTCCCCCAAAAACTGGCACCTTTTTCCCCCCCCCCATCCTTTCCCCTATAAACTAGCAGCTCTGTTTCCGGGATCTCCTTACTTGATCTCAATGTCATTGCAGTGATGAGTGGACGAGCTGCTCATAATCAATTCACCTGACCAGAGAAGTAATGTATCTAGCTCACAGTGTTCTCCCCAGGGAATATCTGCATTGTACACTCCTATAGTCGCTCCCTTAGTATTATGACGGAAGGAGTTAAGGGGCTTGCTTTATGTCTGCTCTATGAATAAGTTATTATACTAAGAATGTGCATCAAAGTGCAATGCTCGAGTCTCTGTGGACTTTCTGCATTACATAATACAGCATAATGATGTTAAAGCTTTCTGATCTGTAAACTGGCCATGCTGCTTCTCGATGTCTCCTGTCCACCTTTTTGTAATGTAATTAAGTTGTTATACCTATAGATATGTTAATGAAACTTGGAGCCATCCTCCCAGTCCATCCTAACTTGTACATCGTCCAGTATTGGTGCGCCAGTCCTGTGTAACCAGTACGAACTTGTAAGCTGTGCAAATGATAATCACCTAAATAAACTATCTTTACAATCAGTCCTGCTGACAGCTGAGTTATGAGGCATTTGAGGCATCACAAATGAACCATTTTTTCCTCCCTGCAGCCAATCAGTGTCTGACTTTAATTCTCTATACTGCCCTTGAAAGTAAATGTGAGCAGCCAATTGGTTGTTTAAAAGTATTGAAAATCAGTCATACATTTTAATGCATGAGGCCAGTTGTGCCTTTTTCCTCATTCACTTATTTAATGGATATACAACTTTAAAAATAAAAAAAATGCATATATTTTTCCTGAAAATAGTAATTGTACAGATGTAATGTAATCCTTTTATGTCGGGCAAATACTTTTTTAGTCTTTTCTGATAAATTTTCCAGTTAAAGTAATGATTTTAGTTTTGTAATTTTAGAGTTTAAATCTGGATTTAAAATTCATCTATATTAGAAAAAGATGTATCAATTAAGCTTAATAAAATAAACATTAAAAAGGGGTTTTTTTTAACTTTTACATGCACGCAGGACTTTAAACCATTTATCAAATAAATATATATAATTTTATTTATTTTTATATTGTATTATAAAAATTGTATAAGTTCTGTGTGCAAGTAATAGAGTTAAACAGAGGGTGAATATATGCTAAATATAAGCTTCACTTAGCACGGAGGTCAGCCCTCTCTCCTGCCATCCAGGCTGATATTTGAGTAAGTGGCAATCGATCAGGCTAATGCCTGCCTCTCGTTTTTCATATTCGAAAGGGGTTGTGGCTTAAAGTAATCACTAGCTGCCTGTGCCAGGAGCTGGGACTGCAGTATGTGTTGGGAGCTGGGAGGGATCAGTACAAGGAGCACAGGAAACCTGCAAAGCATGAGTGTCAGGCAGACAGGCTGAGTCCTATGGAACTCCTATCAGCTGCTCTTTAAATGTGGCCAGACCTGTTCTGGCTGCAGCGTGTCCTCCAGGAGTGTGCACCTTGGGAATACAGAAGCTATAAAATGGGCTGCTCAAGCAGCAAGCTGTGCGTCTACCCCCCATGTGATACATCTAGGGTAATTACCGGTTTTATTTTTTTATCTACCTTTTTTTTTTACCTATTTGCTCATGGAGTTCTTACAGTTGCTGCAGCAAGGGAGGAATGCCAGCATAGGACGTTTCTTGCAAACAGAAGATCATTTAAGGCAGCAGTTACTTGTTCTGCTTTGACTGTACTGTTTACATCTAGGAGTGTCTCGCAGGATATTGAATATAAGCGGTGAGACTGATCATACTCCTTTGTCATCCTAAGACTACATTGTACTGTGTAATATAAGTGCATTTTCCCTTTTTAGAACATTTTTATGCATGCTTTGCAATCCTTTTCTTGCTTTAACATATACATTTGCTTTGTGCTATGCAAACTTGCCAGTCCCTGCAGACGTAAGAGAATTATGTTCCCTGGGGAATAGATTGTGGCCATTCAATTACACTAATAAGAATTTCTGAGCTAGGACATAGCCTGCTATGCTGTGCAAGGAGGGGAGCCAGCAAAGGACATTGCTTTAGAGGTTGCGACTTCATTCTGTGAAGCAGGCGGAATAGGTATTTCTGGAGGATCCATCCTAGTGTCTGGTACAAAGATTCTCCTCTTGGCATGCTATTACTGTGCAATTTTTTTTTTTTTTTCTTGGCTCCTAGTCAGCAGCAGTATTTTAACATATGTTTCTGTGTCTTTGTTACAGTGTATTGCAGCAAGTGACTTGAAAGCTGATCAGGGTTGTTTGCGTTTTGATTTGTTTCTCATCTGTTTCGATGGAAAGTTTTGCTATTTTCTTGTCTTTCAGTAACAGAGAGAAAACAAACACAGGCAAAATCAAAATATCCTGTGTGGATGAAGTAGCTTGTTGAATACTAGTTAAGAGCCGCTGGTTACTTCGAACTTTTGTAACTGTTGCATCTGGACATGAAAGGGTTACAGTGCAACACGCTGGTTTTATAGGCCTTAAGATACCAGACATTGTGCTTGTGTGTTGTATCTTGCTTATAGCAATGTAGACGGTGATAAAGCAACATACTTAATAAATATTTGTTTTCACAGCGTGAAGAGGCCCTGAAGAAACGGAAGGAGATCTCTCAGGAACTTCAGAATTTGCGAGGAGACTTGGGTAAGGACAGATCATCATAACATCACAAAGGATACATAGTAGAAGTATGCATGACTATTTATGGTAAATCAACCCATAGAAACCAATTAGATTTCATTTGGCTATGGTTTGGATCAGCAAGATTGTTTGCCATGGCTCAGTGGACTTTGTACATCATCCTGTCTTATTGGATATGCCTGTTTTATGTTGGTGAATGCCCCAACCTGCGTGTATATGAACTGAGATGTTTGCTTTTTCTGTAATATACTGAATTACTAGGTTATGTCAATTTGCATGCTTAAGGGTTGAATTGCATAGGGAACTTCTATGTCTAACCCAAACTGTTATTAGTTTTTAGCAGATGCTAGAGTGAAACCACCAGCTGACAATTGCCTATATCGATGAAGGGTTTTATTGGTGAGATTCTAGGTGTGCCCTGCTGTTGTCACTATAAGGGAGTCCCACTCTCCCTGCTGATTTGTTTGTTTTATATTATGGCGAATGCAGCTGGACACAGGTTGGGTGGGGACAATATACTCCTAGGTAGACAGTCTGAAATCTTAGCAGAGAAATCATACTGTTGGAGTATCAGAGGTTAATCTGAAGATGCTGTGCTATTCAGTATCCTCCGTTTTGGTAAAACGGGCAATAGACACGAGATGAGCACAAGTCCATCTACCCACAAGTAGCCATATCCTATTTATTGGACGCTTTTAAAAAAACATTCTAACGTAAGGTAGTGTCTGCTTACTTCGCTGCCTTAATTCAAAGTCATTAACATGAATATTTGGGTGACCTAAGAATTCTTGTTTATGCTTGTATCTGGCCCATAAAACCTCTTCCCATATACAGTCATCTGATCATTGTCAGGTTTATGTGTACCTAAAGACCCATAAACCTCCTATGTATGTGATTTTTGCAGGTGATTCAGCAAGTTAAATGCAGTAAACTGTCTGTTTTGATGCATAGAAATAAAACCATCTTCCAGCATGATTAGCATCCTTTAAGTCATTTCGGAGGTACATTGTTAAAAATTGGGTGCATAGGTGACATTGTTTGCTGCCTTAGCGACTAAGCCCATCGCTAGCAGAGAGCCATGAAGTTCTGTATAACCAGTTGTTTTATGCATAATAGTTTTTGCCTTGTATATGTTGTGTGCCAATAAAGAAACCGCTTATTATTAATAAGAGGACATGTATTGATTCTACAGATGGCGTTTATTATGGTATACATTGGTACTATATATCAGCAGTGTTTCCAGGGATGTGTTTTCAGAAACTGTGCTCTTGGAAATATGGGACAGTGGGCAAGAGGTGAACAGAAGACTCAAGTCTGCTTCAAGTATTCTGAGATTTTAAGAATATGCAGTTCTTAAACGTTTTGCTTTTGAAGATCTACTATCCTATGACCATTTTTCTGCCTGGTTACCTGATAGGATGTGGGTCTTTATTTCATCTATTGTATTCTCAGATCTTCACAAGCATCTTTTTTTTGTTTTGTGTTTATCAAAGAGTTAAAGTTTTCGAAAGTGTTGTAAATGGTTTTTCCCCTGAGGCGGATTCCCATGGAAACTCTGCAGTTGTGAATATCTCTAGAGCCTGTTAGCTGACCCCCGGGTTCATCAGATTCCTGGCAGTTATCTCACTGCCTTAGAAATGGGTCTGCACTTTTCCAGCCCCATAGATAAAAGTGAAGTCAGTGCCTCTCTAAACCCATTTCATGATACTTAAGTAAACTTATTTTCTGCTTCTGCAAGAGAGCTGCAGGGTTTTTTCAACCGAATAACGGTGAACACCAGGTATTTGGAAGCAGAACCTTAATTACACAAATCTGCTCATTCCATGCCAAGAATGTATTGTTTTTATGCAGTTGTCAGAACTGTTCAGGCTATACTCACTCCTGTAATTAACTTCCATTCTGTGTGCAAAAATGTAGGAATAAGCTGACAATCAGGTCTTCTGCAATTGCTGCAAATCAGTTTATGAATATACATGCACAGGTCACCGGTGTGTTCATATTTGCATCCTGCAGAGCCCTTAGATCAAGAATAAACAGTGGTTGTTTGAAAAAAAGTTCTGTTCCCTAAAAATAATCCCCCAGGAGTGTCTGCTTTTACCCGCTGACAAGAAGACAATTACCTGATCAGGCTAAAAGCAGCCAGACTGGGCAAAGGTCATATGTTTTAGGATACCAACAAGCTTATCTAAACCCAAAAACAAAATTGTAATCTATTGCAACTTATGAGTTCTTTATTTTTACCTAGTGATCCTGCCGGTAAATAATTCTTGTCCTAGGGTGATGACACTCACTGTACTGTATCTATGGACGAGCGGTGTTGCCACTCTGGGTTGCTCTCCTGGTTTTGAACTACCTCTCCTCAACTCCATTACATAGTTATTTTGTGAGAAGAGTTGATTTATGAAGAATGGTACATAAGGAGAAATAATAAACTATACAAGCTCAATAAACATTCAAAAAATTGTAGCAGTAATAAGATGATTGTGACTTAGATGGCTTGGCCTTGTGGAAAAAAAGGAAGAGCCCCTGAGAAAGTTTGAGTGACATCCAGCATGAAGATCAATAAACGTGTAGGTTAATGGTAGAGAATAAGTATAAAGAGGCAAAGATGGAGTTCGATATTGATGAATATGGAAAGAAATTGTGCCAGAAGTCTGGTCCTATACGTGGTTGTAGTGCCAGAGAGACAAGGCTTTTCATATTGGTACATCCTCCTGAAGAAGGTTAGTCGAATGTCCCTAACAGTCATCCCTGCGCGTGTACACACTTGCCCTAGGGCCACTCCTAGTGGGACATACTATATATGTTTTTCATTTCTGAGAGTAAAGCTAAAATCACCTAAAGGAAACGCACTCTAACATGTACACTAGCTTGCAAAAATATTCACCCCTACATAAGTTCTGGTGCAACCAATTACCTTCAGAAGTCACATAATTAAAGAGCACCTCTGTGTGCAACCGAAGTCACATAATCTCAGTATATATACATCTGTTCTGAAAGGCCCCAGAGTCTGCAACACCAGTAAACATGGTGCTGCTTGCTTGATGGTGCCCCTTGAAGACAAAGAAGCTCTCCAAACAGGTCAGGGACGAAGTTGTGGAGAAGTACAGATCAGGGTTGGGTTGTAAAAAAAAGACCCACAGAGCACAGATAAATCCATTAACGTAATGGAAAGAATATGGCAGCAATACAGAACTGCCTAGAGAGGGCTGCCCACCAAAATTCACGGGCCAGGCAAGTAGGGCATTAAAGGAGAACTATGGGGTCGGAGCTTTTCCCCATAGTTCTCAGGGTAACGGGAGGACACAAACTAGCGTCGTCCCGTTACCCTAAGCTCAGTATACCGCGAGCTACAGCTCGCGGTATACTGAGACGCCGGAGCGGATCCCAACATCGATGTCGAGATCCGCCCAGCTGCGTGAGTGACAGCTGGCCCTACCTATCTAGAGGCAGAGCTAGCTGTACCCACCCCTAAGTGGTTTAGGGGGAAATATTCAAATATCTTGGAATGGCCTAGTCAAAGCCCAGACCTTAATCCAATTGAGAATTTGTGGCATGATTTAAATCCATCTAACTTGAAGGAGCTGGAGCAGTTTTGTGTTGAAGAATGGGTCCAAATCCCAGTGGCTAGGAGGTGGGGTGAATAGTTATGCACGCTTACGTTTTCAGGGGGGATTGTATCACAAAATATTTTACATCTTCCAAGTGGTGGGCATGTTGTATAAATTACATTCAAATACCCCGAAAAACCTTAATTTCAGGTGGTAATGCAACAAGATGTAAAAGTATTCACCCCCCTCACTGTATGCAGATACTGGTGGAATTGGTATCTGCACGTGTCCAGTGGACTGTTCCAAACAGTGCTTATGCAAACCTAGATAATTGACATTGTACTCACAAATATGGTTAGTATAAGCTCCCCTCTGTCAAATACAATAAAGATCAACTGCAGATCTGTCCTATGTGGGCACATATTTTTTCACATAGTTGCCCCAAGGCTATTGAAGTGGCTACTTTATTTTGGTTTACATCAGATATAAATGTCCACAAACCTTGAAGCATACAGAGGTCTGCAGGTCTGGAGAGGACTAAGGAGCATTTATTTACCTAGGAGAAGGTGGAGATACTTAGAAATATAGGTAAATTTGAATATATTTGCAGTTTATTTTATGTTGCGGTGTTATTAGAGATACATAATACACATACATATATTGCCAGTGTTATATAACATAGAACATTCTTTAGAGCTAAAGTTTGTATATGTGTTCTCCTGTAGGTGTCTATCATCTGTAGGTGTCTATCATCTGTAGGTGTCTATCATCTGTAAGTGTCTATCATCTGTAGGTGTCTATCATCTGTAGGTGTCTATCATCTGTAAGTGTCTATCATCTGTAAGTGTCTATCACCTGTAAGTGTCTATCTGCATCTGCCTATCTGCCTATCTGCCTATCTGCCTATCTGCCTATCTGCCTCTCTGTCTATCTGCCTATCTGCCTCTCTGTCTATCTGCCTATCTGCCTCTCTGTCTATCTGCCTATCTGCCTCTCTGTCTATCTGCCTATCTGCCTCTCTGTCTATCTGCCTATCTGCCTCTCTGTCTATCTGCCTATCTGCCTCTCTGTCTATCTGCCTATCTGCCTCTCTGTCTATCTGCCTATCTGCCTCTCTGTCTATCTGCCTATCTGCCTCTCTGTCTATCTGCCTATCTGCCTCTCTGTCTATCTGCCTATCTGCCTCTCTGTCTATCTGCCTATCTGCCTCTCTGTCTATCTGCCTATCTGCATCTGCCTATCTGTTTCTGCCACTGTCTATCTGTCTATCTGCATCTGTCTCTGTCACTGTCTATCTGCATCTGTCTCTGTCACTGTCTATCTGTCTATCTGCATCTGTCTCTGTCACTGTCTATCTGTCTATCTGCATCTGTCTCTGTCACTGTCTATCTGTCTATCTGCATCTGTCTCTGTCACTGTCTATCTGTCTATCTGCATCTGTCTCTGTCACTG